TCTTCAATTAATGCTTTTAGAGGGCTAAGTATAATAGTAATACCATTTATAAGTAAAGATCCAATTGAATAGCATAATCTCTTTCCTTTTCCAGTCGGAAATAATACTAAAGTATCTTTGTTGTTTACAAAACTTTCTATAGCCTCCTGTTAACCCTCATGTCCTGTGACTAATGATATTGGATTAAACGGGACTTACCAATTAAGGAATACAGAAAGGAAGGTTAGGAAAAGATTTGTATATGCTAACCGATTAAAGTCATACAAAGAAAGAACAATCAAAACATTGATCGCCAAAAACTATGAAGCTTTCTTGATTTCTTATACCCCAATTTCCACTATAACTATTTTTACTGCTTTATATAAGCGTGTTAAGGCTCATGAATGGAAAGATAATCGTGAGAAGGAAGTAGCAAATTTTCTTGAAGTAGCTGATAAAGTATTAAACACTATTCACATAGATGAAAAAGATAGATTGGACATTTTGGAAGTGGTGAATTTTTAAAACAGTGTGTAAGTCTCAGAAATAACAAATGAAAATTAATTAGATATGATGAATTTATTGGTTTTCTCATGAGGGGAACGAAATATATTTCAATAATTTTTTGTTCGGACGAAGTAGTTTATAAGAGGGCAAACAGATTTCATCCACCTTTCTTGCCGATGTTGATGATGCATAAGGTTGTATATAAACAGTGAATGCACTTTGTCTTTGTAGTATTAATTATGTAAGGATGTCGGGAGTAACTGTTTATATACATTAAACACCATATGCGGATTCTACTGAGGTGTTATCTTTTGCAAATAGCCATATCCTTGAAATATGTGTGAAAAAAGAAAACCAAACTGATCCGCATCCAACATGAACATAATAAACTATTTTTGGGTTTTAACTTACGAACTTTAAATTGATTTTGTTAGGTCTCGGATGCTTTTGACTATATTCGCTCTTCATTGGAGATGGATGTTTTGGTAAGATTTAGTATAATATTCTATTTCGTTACAAATGAATATTATGATTAATTATTTGCAATTATAGAATGTAGAGGATATCTGGTTAGCCGACGCAACTAAAAATCTCGAATCATTGAAGAATGAAGTGCATAAGGTTTGTATTTTAAAATAGATTATATTATTATTTCTTTTTCAATTATCTATTATTAACATTTGTGAATTAGTTGGTATCACCAACGTCAGGGGATGAGAAAACTATGTGGAGTGCTGTAAAAAGCGAATTAAATGGAATCGATGTAAAAGATTTGGGTTATGATCACCCATTGTGTTCATGTATTTTAGATGATAGTTTTGAACCCTTTACCACGATTCCGGGTTCATTACAGAATGTTTTTAAGGCACCAAGTAGAAAATTCTTAATTTCGACCGATAATACATTAAAGGACATGTGTGAAAATTTTATTCAAAAAGAAAAGGAAAAACGTCTCAACCCTCCTGAAACATTTGGCGAATTTTTAGACAAGCCAGAAAAACTACAGGAATTAACACGCCAAATGTTAGAAGTATTAAGTCGAATTTGGGGGTCGCCAAAATGGAAAACTTACGCAACGACAGGAAACCCCAATATTAATGAAGGATCATATGTGTGTGAAATTATATCACCTTTAATAAATATTGTAATGAATGACATGCCTGTGGATTTTGATATTTGGGGGGTGTGGGGCGATGAAACAAGCTCAGCTAGTGCGGAACGAAAGGGGTCACGTAAACAGGCGAAACGTCCAGATTATATGATTGTTGCAAAAATAAATAACAAAAAAGTTGAGGCAGGATATCTAGAAACGGGTCGACCAGGATCTTCAATTGATAAACAAGTCCGGGACCATAAAAAGTTGAACAGGCTAGCAAAGGACTCTATCGATGAAACTCGGATGTCTAAAAACAAAAGAGCTTTTGAAAAATTGCCAATGAAAAGTATGTTGTCCATTTTCACGATCAATGTTGCCGGTAAGAGGTTGGAAATGCGTGTATGTGTGGAGAATTGGGTCTTTATAGGAGTTGCTTACTTGATCAAGCGACTATCCCTTTATATATCTCATTCACAACTCCAGAAGATGTATATCATTTTATACATATTTTACTGACTTTTAGAACTGCGATTGCATGCACGATACGTAAAGTATTGCACTTTACTGATGACTCTACAGAAATGATGCCATTTATGTCACAATCATCGGATATGTCACAATCATTGGATATGACAATATCTTCGCAAACTTCAACAGCGTCTACCGTTGCATCACCACCATCACAAAATAGATCGGCGAAAAAAAAGAAATCAGTTAAATTACCGAAAAAATCATCTTAAGGTAACAGGGATTTTGTATTTTTATATTTTGTTAATAAAGAGCATTTTTATTTGCCATACACATCGAGAATATGAGTCATAGACCCTGGGCTTTGCCTATTCGAATCAATGTTATTTCTCTCTAGATATCTGCATACCTCTTCATAATCGAATACCGCCTTCGTATCTTGTGTCTTCCTATTTATGATAGTTATATGGCCTTCATAAATAATATGATTATATTTATCCCGGTTTTGAAATTGTAGGATTTGTAGTAAATCTACCTTGAGTTTGCGTCTGTTCTTTCTAGATTTGCGAGACATATTAATATCTTATGTATAATGACGTATTACATAGGCAACCCCATTAAACCGAAGGCAATTGTGCAGGAACTTTTCTTCGGATTAACGAGGGTTTTTTATAATCATTAGAGTCACAAATTAATTCGGATGAACGGGGTAATAAATTTAAAAATTTAGGATATAGAATTTCCTTTGTCCATTTTCTGGCAGTGAATTGATTTGGATTCAATGATAAAAACAATCACTCTTTTTTAGAATTTCAGAAACAGTAGATTCACTGACATTATATTTAGATGCAAGCTGATTATTTTTTATGTTTGGATCTTTATTTTTTTCAATGCATATTTACATTTTTTGTGAGATTGTTATAGGCGTATGTTTTCTTTTTGATACCACAACTTCTTTTTCAGTAGATTTTTTTCCCTCTTGTTTGCACTAGAGAAAAGACTACACTGGTTATTAATTTTTGTACATGTTGTGAGTGAAAATGAAATTTATGCGAATTTGCAATTCACATATTCAAATTAATCAGTCAGAATTTCATATCCAAATGCTCCACCCCAAAATTTTAATTATTGATTTCAATTTCACATATGTATTTTATAAATTGTATATTATTATTATTGGTCCAATTTTATTTCACTTCAGTTTATAAAAATTCGGATTAACGGGGCAATTTTACATATAAATGGCTTCAAAAAATTTAAAAATTTCTTCGGTTTACGGTTTATAAAGTTTTATTAGTGACATTCATATTAACGGGTAATTTACATATGTTTGGCTTTGGTGTTTTAAAAATTATTCATTTTAACGGGGTTTTCGGATTAACGGGGTTGCCTATGTATATCAAAGTATTCAATTTTTTTTTCTTGCTAAAGTGATCGGCGTGAACAATTGCTCACGCGCACGTGATTTTGATGAATCCGCATAATTCTGTATATATTATATTTTTCTTTTTTATTAATTTAATAAAAAAATCTATTTGTATTATTATAATAAAAAGCAAATACATTGCTTTTACGTTCAATGTATAATAGTAACTTGTGGAATTTGTTTTGCAGAAGGGTACAAATAAAATTAATTAAATCTTTTGATTATAATTTACATAAATTAAACTTATAATTTAAATATATTTTTTTACAAGGATAGATAGAAGATAGAAATTAGTTTTGTGCTAAAATAAAATCATTTTTTTATGACCTTTAGCTCTATCGAGATCTTTTTGAAGATCTTGCTCTTTTTTCTTCAATGCTAAATATGTTGCTTCGATTTTATTAACATTTTCTAGAAAATGTTTAGCCATTGTTGGATCTTTTTTGTTTCTCTGATATGAATCTTTTGCCTTTTGTAATTCTTGAGAAGTTTTATTTAATTGTTCTTGGATTTGATATAGTTTGATGTTATTATTCCTTGATCCTGATTTTTGACGAGATGAATATTCTGATGAATTATTGGTAGTTGATGTTGATTTAGAATTTGATATTATAACTTTATCAACACTACCATCAACATCAACATCATTGTCATTAGAAAGCCGTAATGATGTCTTATTATTATTGGTCGATTTGTTAAGTGAAACATTTAAAAAATCAAAAATGTTTGGTTCAGCTTCTATATTGCCATCAGGACCAAATTCTATTGATGCATCTTTTCGTGTTCTACGACGTCTGTGGGTTGTAGAATATGGGCTGTCAGATTTACGTTGTTGATGACGACGTTGTTTTCCTGGATTTTTATCCTTTTTTTTATCGTCAATGTAATCAAGTGAAACGCCTTTATTAATTAATTTTACTTCAATCGGGTTAACAATTCCTTCGCCATTTTTACCTAATCCTTCACCCTAAATTGTTGAAATAGAAATTAAATGATAATATATAAAAGTGTATATATATATATATATAAATATATTTGCATACCATTTTATAGCCCATTTTTATCATTAATTTAGAAGCAAAACCTTTTGTGTGTTTTTCCCAATCTGCCAAACCATCGTTATTATTATCAACATTTATTTTGGTTAATTTTTCGTCATCATCATTATTATTATTATCATAAGTATAATCAGAAGATTCATTTGAACTTGATAAATCTGTTTCATTATCATCATCATTATCATCACCATCATCATTATCATCATCATCACCATTTTCATCTAATCCTTGAACTGGAATTATCTCATCATGACTAACTGTTACTATTCCATTATTTTCATAACCTTTAAATTTTACTTTAAATCCTCGACCATTTGAACCAATTTCTACAAGCTTTGCCATATACCATACATTATCTTTATTATATTTGGCCCAAACTTTTTTACCAATTTTGTATGAATCTACACCACCGGCACCTAAAATTTCATATGGTGCCAAAAGTTCCAAAGTAACCTCCTCGCCATGTGAAAAATTTTTGGAACATAATTTAGCAGTAGTACATTGGTTAGCAAGAAAATTTTCACATATCCTAGTGGATGACGTTATTGGTGTTAATATTAAAACTTTACAAGTATTTTCTTCTTTATTAATTGTGAGAATTATTGCTGGAAGAAAGTAAACTTTTTGATAGTCTGGATGAATAAATGGAATACAACACTTTCCTCCAATATGCAACAAATCCTTATCTGCACTCAATCTCATTGAATGATCGTCATTATCATCATTATTATTATCCGTTAATAATATATCATTAGATTTTTCAATCACCAAAATTTCTTCATTTTTTGAGATCTAAAGAATTGTATAATATAAATTTTTTTTTTGTAGGTTTGTTGATCAACACTTCCATTCTGATGGGAGATTATATATATGTGTGTATATATATATATATAATATTCTTACCACTTCTTCTTTTGAAGATGTTTCAGGTTGACACCCAATTAATCTGAGTAACTCTTCTTTTTTCAACTGTAATAATTTCTCCTCTTGTTTTGATATAAAAAGTTCCAAATCTTGAGCAAGTTTTTTCAACTCTAGATCTTCTGGACTTAAAAATAATAGATCTGTAAGTTCTTTAAGAGATTCCTTATTTTCTCTAATGGAAACTTCAAGATCTGAGACAGACATGCTTTTTATTATTATTTTATTATTTTCTGATAGTTGTTTTTATATGGGGGGACATATTGCAACTGAACATTATTATTATGTCACATAAAAATTTCAGGGATCAATGTTGTGATATTAATTGTTCCACTGAGCACCAGGTAAATGTTTATTTTTTTCTCTTTTACTTTCTTATATACAGGATTATTACCATTTAAAAATAATTAATATGAAACTAATTTATGTCAGGTCCATCACCATGGAATTTAAAAATCGTAGCACAATTAGAAGTATTCTGAAAAAGACAGGATGAAAAATTGCGCCTTATATTTTTAAATTAGCGGATGTTAAGTCCTTGCGAACATATATAAATAAAAAACATTAACACAAAACCCAGAAAAAAAAAAGAAGGATAGAACGGCAATAATAAATTTAGATCCTACAGTCCAAAGCAAAAAAGTTCTCAACGAAAAACAAGCTGATAATTCTAGTTTCAAATCAATCCTGATCAGTTGAACATTGAAGGAATGTAACACAAAATTCGTCAATAATATTATATTAAAGGAAAGGTCAAAAGAAAAAAATCATACTTATTGGCACGCTCTAGATGTGACGATATTTTTAATATAGCATCATCAAAAAACGCCCGAGTACGAGCATAGGTTCTAGTATCTCGATCCTTTTCTCATGGATCCTATAAAAATTATGAATTGAAACTGAATCGTGCCGTTAACTGAAGCCAAAAAAAGGTCGGATTTGCATGTATTGTTGATGAAATCTTACTTTCAAATTCCGAGGTAAAGTCAGACAAAGGTTTTCTGAAAGCCAATTTTAATGCGAAAAAAGCCACGGTCTATTTTTTTTTTTATTTGTAGAAGGAATACAATAATGATCATAAGATGGGTGACTCCATTTGAACTTCTTATCGATGAATCATTGGACACCCATGGTGTAAAGGCAAAAGTAAACATTCAAAAGACGCCAGGAAAGCATTTCACATGTTAAAGGCCAATATGGATATATATATATCTTACCATGGAATTGCCTTTATCATTTATTCTCACTACATTTGTTTGTCTAAATTGTTCATTTGAAAATCTAGTAAACACGGTAGAGTCATTCATTTATGATGGACTATGTCGAGTTTGGCCTTATTTAAAAACCAATATTGTTAGAGATAATTTTTTTTTTTTGTGACGAATAAAATTAATTTGCATACTTTACATTTTTATAATAAAAAGCTAGCTTTGCAACCAACACTATTTTGTATTCGATATGTATTATCTATTTTATTTTTTCAAAATGCTATTTGAGTTGGTGAAATAGTAATCCTAATTTAAACTTTGATCCCTGAATCTTTTATGTGACATAACGTAGTTTTACTTGAAGATCATTACGGATTGTATTACTATATATCTTTTTTTGAGAAATGGATTCAGTATCAAATAAAGGTAAAAAAATTATTTTTGATATGATTAATTATAATAATAATAATAATAATTTATCATTTCTAGATTAAAATTTTGTAATTTAGAAAAAGAATCAAAAAGGAAATCAGAAAAAAAGGCCAAAAATAGTGAGGATAATAATGATAGTGAGGATGAAAATATGAGCATTGATGAGGATAATGTAAGAGATGATAATGATAGTGAGAATAATGAAAAGGATGACAGCGAGAACGATGATAATAATGAAGGAGAAGAAGATGATGATTATGATGATATTATTTCACTTGGTCAAAGTTAGTTTCTTCTAGATCATATTCGAACACATATACAATTAATACAATTTTATATATATATTAATTATTTTATTATTTAATCATTTAATATTAGAAAGAAAACGAGCAACCAAAAAAAAAATTACGACGCCAACGGAATTTGCTTCAACAATGAATAAATTATTATCAAGTAATCTAAAACCTGCGGATCAAAAAACACCAATACTTTCCAGATCTAAAAGTATAGCAAAAAGAATTGACGAAGAAAAACTTGAGTATAAAACTCGTAAAGCTATAAGTGCAGAGAAAAATAAAAATTTAATGAAAGATCGAGTAAAAGTTGAATTAGATATTGAGAAATTGGATTATGAAAGAAATTTAAGGAAAATTGCCACTAGTGGAGGTAATAAAAAAATTTGTGTATGAGCGTGTGTTGAATAATTATGATTTATTTACTAAATATAATTATGTGCCTTCTTGTCAAGTTGTACAATTATTTAATGCTATCAGAACATCGCAACAAGCCACTGATGAGGTAATTAAATCATCTGGTGGTATACAAAGGTTAACAACAAAAGCAACAAAAGATGGTAAGAAAACTATTTATGTTATTATTTATAATTAATTATTGTTGTTGTCTATCATCTATTGATGAATTTTTTTTGAAAATCGTTAATTGAATGTTTACATTTATACAAATAGTTACATCAATGTCAAAAGAAACATTTTTAGATATGTTAAAAAATGGAAAAACCGCATAATAATAATGATGATGGTGTTAACGATGTCTTGATCAAATACATTTTAAAAAATGTATTTTTTTCCATTATTATCATAAGTCTTTAATTATATAAATATTTTATTATTACAGTTAGAATTATTATCTAATAAAATATTAAAATTCGGTAGTTAGTTAATTAGAAAAAAATAAAATAAAATAATAAATACAAAAAACAAAAAATATTATATTTTTTTTTTATGGTAACTTAATTTGTGAGAAATAATATTTTACATCAAAAAAAAAAAAAATTTTTATTATTCACATATATATATATATATATATATATATATCATACATACATACATATATATGTGTATATTACAGAACTCCCAAAGGATCATCTACAGGAGCGGTAGGAGATGCAGTATAATTAGATTTTCTTGCGTTGTTTATTGCTTCACTTGTTTCATGGACATCAATTTTTGATGAGTTAGGTGTTGTTGCCCCTAACGGGTCAACTTTTCCAGAATAAATTGAATTTGAAGTTGTAGTAGATGTTGCAATCAATGGAAATGGATTTCTTGATTTAACATTTGTAGATGATGATGATAGTGGTGATGATGGTGGTGATGATGATGGGACAGTAGACGATGCTGCTGCCGTTGCTGAATTAATGTACTTTTTAAAAGATTCATCATCAATATAATTTTCAATGTTTAATGATGCAAAACTTGAAAGACTATTTATACTAGTTATACTAGATCTTTTTGGGTTAAACAAAGAATTATCATCTTCATCAATGCAACCTTCAATCATCCAGCTGTATTTGGAATTTGATGCAATGGAAGATTTTGAGAATCCGGTTGAAGAATCATTATCTACATCATTTAGGATATCTTCTAGTTTAAGTCGTGATTTTGGAATAACAACTGATGCAGGTCTTTTAAAATTGGTTTTTTGTTGTGAGTGTGATGATGGTGACGATGACGATGATGATGGGGGTGAGGGGAGTAATGTTGATATTGTTGGTGGTAATGATGAATCTTTTACAATATTGGATTCATCATTTGTATTATTATCGTTAGCAGTGGTGGTAGTGGCGGCGGTGGTAGTAGAATTGGGATTTGAAGAAATAAACGATTGTTTTTGTTGAATTGAATTGGATGACGGTGGCGGCAATGGTGGCAATGGTGGTGATGGTAATCTTTTTGTTTGAATATGATTATTATTAATCATTGATTTACTGCCAACATTTGAATTAACAGTGCTACTATTACTACTGCTAGGAACAAATTTAGATTCTTTGCTAACAAATGCAGTTTCGTCTTCAGTTCCAGCAACACTAACCACACTAACACCATCATCAACCACTTCCCAATGATCATGATCTTCCGGTCCATTATGATTATAATTTACATCAAAGTTTTGATTGGAATCTTTTAAAGTTCCATTCAACACATCTCTCATATATTTTAATCGGTCTAATATGGGGGTAAGTGTGACAATTCCGTTTGATGGCGATGGCGATGAGGATGAGGAGGAAGAAGAGGAAGAGTCTTCATTGCTGTTTCCTGAAATATATTCAAATGAAGAACGCGACGTTGAATCATCTGAATTTTTATAAATTTTTTCTACATCTGCTATTGTACTACTACTGCTAGTAATATGATCATTACTACTGTTAATGTTGTTATCATTATCATCATTATCGTCATCGACATTATTCTTATTCTTATTATCAGTGTTTGTGTTATTTTCTTTTAATTTCATTCTTGCCATAAATCCTTCAAGAATCTCAATACTTTGATTAACCACTATACTAAAATTATGATTCTGTTCACGTAATTTTGATAGTTCCGAAAGTGTTTCTGATTGTAAGGGATCAGCAGTTGGTGGTGGTGGTGGTAATTGTGATGATGATGATGGTGGTGGTGGTGGTGGTGGTGCTGTATTTGTATGATTTCGGTTTGTATATGATGAGGGAATTTGCGAAAAATCTGGTGTATTAACACGTTTTCTACCATCATAATTTTGTTGTACATCAGAACGACGTAAAACATTTTTCTATGATACATATATTAATAATATGATATTATTGTATTTTTATATGAATAAATCATAGATAGATAAATAGATTAGCATACCTTTACTTCACCTACAGCAGTTAAAATAGCTTTATTCAAAACAGCAGCACTACGGCTTTCCAAAACATTTTTAGTAACATGAACAAATCCATCTGGAACAATACTTTCACTTCGACTATGTTCATATACTTGATATGGTGCTGGTAAAGGCTTACCAACTCTTAATGCATTCTCTGAAATGATGTAAGCACCACCTTCAGGTGATAAATGATCACGAAGATGAATTGCTTGAGGCACTAATAATTGTACATCATCTATTGGTGGATATGCCATCAACATACTCAAACATCCTGTAAAATCTGATTCTAACACTATCACACACAAAGAGAGAGATAGAAAGAGAAAATAATATAATGTTGAGATTATTTGTTATTTTTGTTAAATTTATAATAACGATAATAGATATATATATTTTTTTTTTCAACTGTATTTGTTAATTAAACTTACGTTCATCACGAACATGTAATATCATAGCTATACAAACAAAGTCTACAATTCTTAATGTAGGATCTTCAGCAAACATTCCATCCCATAAAATAAGAACTTTATTCAATGGAAATTCGCGACCAAAAAGAAGCCTTATCCATCGTCTATTATGAAAAAGTGAGCATCCGAATAAATAAAAAGTTTATGAATTAATTCTATAATTAAAATAATTAAAATATTCTAAATTGTATTTATCACATTACAAATACAAATCAAAAAACTTACATTCCATAAAGTTGAGGTTCTATTTCCAAATTTGACAAATGTTCGTATAATTCAAAATCAAACGTTTTAAGATATTCGTTAAATATTTTATTACATTTAACCACAACAGGTGTAAGCTTAGCAACCTATTAAAAAAAATTCAAAAAATAACTTTAAAAAAAAAAACAAGCCAAAGATTATTTAAATGTATAGATGAAAGTAACTACTTCATTTTGAGCTTCTTTAATCAACCTCGCATTATCTGATTCAGATGTATTAGGACGCTAATTATAATAATAATTAAATTAAATTAAAATATATGTAATGTCATTGGTTTTTTTAAAAAATAAAATATAATACCTTAACAAGTTTACGATTAAATATTTCATCATTATATTCATAATATAATTTAGCAGCTTTCATAAGAGCAGAGAACAATACAAAACTGTCATGTTCCACATAATCAGAATTCAATGTCTGTTTAATGATCGAGTCTTCACTGTTCTCCATTGCAAATCCGTCTGCACCAGATATACTTTCATGATCAACTACCCATAAAATAGGAGCTAAGAGTTCATGCATTCCTTGACGATATGAAACATCAGTGTTCATTTTACAATAAATAAAAAGTATATCAAGAAGACGGCTTTGAGTTTCTGGAGTACGAAAATATTCATTATCAGGGAATCTATTTGTTGTAAAAAAAAATTGTTTTTAGTTAATGTGATTTAGAAAAAAATTACTATTATTACTGTTGTTGTTATTGTTGTTTTATGAATAAACTAACGTTCTTTCAACATCTTGTTTTATAATTTTTCTTAATTCAGTATCTTTAAAATATTCTTGCCAAGGGTTCTAACCAATTGTGTTTAATATGTCAATCAATCATTGAGTTAATTGAACAAATAAACCAATCAATCATTAATCAATAAATTAAATTATTAATGATACACATACAGCTTGGTCTAAAGATAAAGGATTGTTAACAGTTAAATCATCCATAATATCATTATCAGACTCTGTGTTCGGATTGGTAATATATTTTTGACGAAGATCTGCATAATGCTGTCGTTCCTTATGAAGAGTTAGAGTCCAAGTAGATATGTCTGGACTAGGTAAATAAGATAAATATAACTATTGAAAAAAGATAATAATTTATAAATTGTTTTTTCACAAAATTAAATAATAATAACTTAAAGTTCAGACATACTTTCCAGCAAACGGATCTTAAACTTTGTGAACAAACATTTCCTTTGATTGCTTTTTCACGAAGACTTGTTAATGAAAGTAGTGGATCTTTAAAAATAACATCCCATTTTTCTCTGAAAAAAAAACAGAAAAAATTTTAAAAAATTTTCTTTTTTATAAAGAAAAAATAGTAATAAATAACTAACTTTACTCTTTCGAAAGAATGAACATCCATATCAATAATGTAAAATTTAGTTGAAAAACTTTTTTCGGTATCAATATATTTTATATATAACAAGTTGCCATTTACTGATTACACTAAATTAGTGATACAGTGGACAACGGCCATCAAAGTGATACAAGGATATTAATGGGGTAAAATTTATCACGTGTTAGTGTAAGCAGTGCCTGCGCCTTAACATAAAACTAGTTGATTTTAGAAATTATCTGCAGTTAATTTTCAGATTTGGCTAATGCGCACCGATTCCTCTAATTGAATTTCGATGGTCTTTAAAAGACCAGTCCTTATTATTACAGTCCAGTGTTTTACCCAATTACCAATTTGGAAATCAAATCCAGAAAGAGCTGGAACCATCTTGGTTGATAAAATTCATATGAGTTAACGTGCAAAGTCACCTAGTCTCCACAACTCACTGCGCCACAAAGACGATGTTCGGGAAAAGATTTACCACAATCCGATTTTCATATGATGCAAATCGCAATCACAATTCAATTCTTATTTGCCACAATTAATTGATGAGCTGGCCATCTTTAATATTAATCATATTAATATGAAAGTCTTCCATTATATATTAATTAATTTATGTACCATCTGGCACATAATAGAAGAGTTGATTAAATATTAATTTGAAGTGTAAAAAAGTTAAGACACATCCAAACAATATTTTTAATAATGCTACTGACTTAACTGCTAAACAAGGCTTGTAAGCCAAACAATGAAATTTGACTCCACCAAAACAAAGACATTAAAGCTACATTATATTTTAATAATATTTAATTGAACAACCAATACATTCTTTCATTAAACTAATTAATCAAGCTAAGGTTTTTAGTAAGTGGTTGTTACTAGACAGACTTGTAAAATATGCAAAGTTAATAAATGGCATTGATTGGGACAGAACATGGAAAAGCTTTGCCTTTTCATCTTACAACAGACAACCTGAAACATAGTTCAAGAAAGCAAAAAATCAAAGCTTTCAAAAATAAAACTATGAATAATAATTTACCTGTACTAAAAAACCTAAAAGAAAATGCATTTCCTGTAGACAAGTAACAACACTTGTGGTAATGTAAGAATTATCAAAAAATAATAAAAGAAATAAAAATGAAACATTATAATAATAAAGATCATAATATAAATAACTTACTACCAGACATTTGCTGGGATCCATATAATGATGAACCTTTCCAGGTTTAATCAATGGAATAATTCCAAAATCATTAAAAAACAACATACTGTATATAAAATTATTATAATAATGGAAACAATCATCACAAACATGTACAATGATATTTGGAAACCTAGGTGTGGGTTGGTAATTCAAGAAGAAATCAAATAAAAAAAAAATGAGAAAAGATCTCAATCACAATAACCCTATTAATGAAACATCTCCCTTGACTTTGAGTTGGATAAGTTGGATAGATTCTTGGATTAAAGTAGGAAACCAATGGGAAATATAACTATCTTGAGAAGGTGTCTTACATAGTCAAAGAAATGGGGTGCATTAGCTTAATTCTCCGATTAGAGCTTATGTACGAACCAGTTCAAACTAATTCAAATCATAGTCTAAAAGTTTTTTTTATTTGAATGTTCAATGATTTGATTCGAACCAATTATATAAATTTAAATTTAAGCATTTTTTTTATTTAAATTCATAACAAATTTTAACTATTATTAAATCTATGTGAAAACTCATTATGTTCACCTATTAAATTATAATAATTTCTAGCTCTCCACATTCTAGTTTTCTTCACACCTTCTTTTGTAGTTAGTTAGAACTAATTAAACAGGCGAAGATTGTGTTACTGCCGCTACAGTTTCAGATGTGGTAGTTGAATCTGAATCCAATTGTATAGAAGGTCTGGGGAGTGAAAGGGTAGAATAAGAATCGTCATTTGTTTAAATCCATGGGAAATTTTTTCAATTAAAATCTTTACTTAAATTCGAATATTCAAATGGTTTGAACAATTCGGATTATCTATCTCCAATTCAAAAAGGAGGGCTCATGAGACTTTGTGCGTCGCCAAGTCGCTCCCAACGAATTCATTTTATGGTAAAACGGGGGAGTTGTGCATTGTAAAAATTTTTTTTATGTACTGCATATCTACAATCAATTTAAATCAATAAGTTTATTTTAAATAGTGACAAAATTTTTAATTAGTCTCGAGTTGCATCACGTCCTTCTTCCGGGAGATAATTGTCATATGACCTGGTGTACTCAACCTGGATACAACCTCTATGTGATTGAATCCTTTGGGGGGAAGTGCTTGCTCTTTCTACGGTCACGTTGGTTTGGAAAATCATAGACTCTCAGCACTTCCATGGAGTAGAGCATAAGAAGTGTCATTCTCGAAAATTTGAAAAAATTTAGGATTATTAATTTTCATTTTCCCATTTTTACAGTAGGAATTCATTTCATAAATTCGTTTTATATACTTGATTATATTATTATCAATTATACAGAATTTTTTTACATAACATATTCGTTTCATATTATCAACTGCTCAAAAATAAAATGGCGACACATTATTAGGGTAGCTATTAATCCTGAAACCCTGAAACTATTCTCTGACGTTTTGCTGCAGCACGTCCTATATATGAATCAAATCCAAGTCCAAGTAAGCATATTAAATATATAGTGTGTTACTATCTCTCTATACTACTATATTAACCACCGTACAAAAGCTACTTTAATTTTCCGGATTCTCTCCCGTCCTTTCATTCATTCATCCATTCACCAAATCAATTTTAAAATCCCAAGTAATTTTGGTACTTTATTTGTTTGTTTCTTCATTAATTAGAAGTTTCTTAATACTCAAACAATTAGAGAAAGAAGGAAGTTTATTAAGAATCTTCATATTATTTAATTTTTCACCAAATTGATTAAACTGTTTTTCAAATAAATTATCGTTATCATTATAACTTTTTACTTTGGACAGTTTTTCATACCAATTAACTTGTAACTCTGTGTTAAATATTAAATTCTTGCTGTTTTTCTTAATTTTAAATAATTTTGGTAAAAATTTCCGGAAAAATCGATTCAACAAAACAGATTCATCCGATTTAATCAGATATTTCAAATGGTAAGTTTTATAGGGAATTTCCGAGAAGAAGAATTGTTTGCACAGTCTATCAAAAGTCTCAAAAATGGTTCTTAATGATTCATCTTGTTCCATTTTAATAGGTGTGAATATTGATTGAGAGTTCATATAATATCTAGCCAATAGGATTTCATCGAAACACCTTGATGTAACTCTAGAGTCAGATTCAAATTTTTTGAATATCCAGGAATAAACACTTAAATTCAACGAAAATAATCTTATAAATCTATCAGTATTATCACCACGATAAAGACCACAATCAAGATCACAATTACAGTATTGATTCCCTATGTTATATGTATTTAATACTTTCAGGAAACTTTCTTCGGGATTTTCAAGTTTTTCATACAAGAATTCTAAAACGGTTAAATTTTTTAGACCTTTTTCAGGCTTGAGGATTTGAATCAAACAATATTCCAAGATTTGTTGCATATCTTCATTTTTAAGTATTTGAAACGATTTCAAGATCAATTCACCGATTATCGATAATTCATTTTCAAATAATAGCAACACATCACCCATGACTAGTTTGGTTAATTTAAAACCCAAATTGACAAATTC